TTCTAAAAGAAACATAACAATATTGTTTTATGTACTTTCACTTTTCACGTATAGTATAACTACTCTTTAAGATTAAGTACTGTGTATCTCAAAAACCAGAGCTAATAAAAATTTTTCATTGTTATTTTCGTTTTTATCACCCCAAAATTAGTAGGAATTGACTAATTTAGTGTAGGAAACATTCAAAAAATATTTTTTTGTTGTGTTGTGAATGGGTGTGTAAACGGTTGCCGTCGTGTTGAAATATTATCGCGAAAGGCGAGTCGAATGATATGAAATATCGTAAGTGAAGGGGCTGAGCACCTTTACTCAGCTCCTTAGCTATACGGGGACTGGGGGAAACATTATTATTATCATGTTATCATTAATAACATATTAGGTAATGATCATATTGCATTGTCATACGGTTCTGAGGTAGGTATATATAAAGTTTCTTTAAAGTCGATCGAAAAATTTTTACCGAAGAGAAAAACCATCATTATTACATTATTATCATATTCTTAAAACTACAGGAATGTTTTCTATTCACTCAAAATTATTTTTCCAGCTACGCATTTTCGATTGAGAAATCGGAATTTTCCAATTTAAACTACGAAATGAATTTTTTTAAAGAAAAAAAAAGTTCGTCTCATTCAATTTTGATTGACAGTCGCCCGCCTCCTAATAAAAGCCATAAAAGGTTATACAGCTAAAATGTGACGTGACAGAAAACTTTACCTGAATCCACCATTTAGAAACTGAATTCATTAGTTCCTCAAAATAATAATATTTGATTCAGATGGCGCCTCAGCACAGGCTATTTTCATGGCAAAAATATCAAGAACGAACGTCAAAGTACTAGATGGCGCGCAAAATTGCTTCAAACGCTTTTATCACAGGCGCTGTCTTACTATCCTTTTATCTTTATACTATACTGCGATATATAGAAGGAAAGGCGATGAGGCAATGGACGAAGTGTTCTAGTTGTCCTCATATATCCAAGAAGGCAGAAGAAAAAGAACTAATTTTCACCAGAGCA